CCTTGATATCAATCCAGAATGCTGCCCAGGAGATGATGACGTACAAAACAATGGGTGCGTACACTTCAATGATAAACTGCCAGCCAAAGTTTCGGCGAAGATGTAAGCGAGCAATTAGTTTGGAGAACGTTCCAGTGCCCAGTTGGCTGTAGTTGGCAACCTCAGAAAGCAGCTCGTACCGGTACATCTCATAGCCGTTCCAATGGAAATGCTCATTCATATTAAAAGGTTCGATTTCCTTCCAAGCCAGCTGCAAGTTATTGTACGAGAGTTCGTTGGACTCAATTTCAAAATCAATTGCCTGAACATCAAGTGGATAGAGGCGAAAGTCCATTTGGCTGATGCCGTTAATAATGATTCGCTTGCTGACCAGTATTCGGCCATCAGATTGGACTCTGGTGAGCACCAAGTTTTGAGAGCTATCAGCGAGGATGTTTGGCGTTTTGCTGTTAGGAACGTGAAGATCTGGAGTCCATAGTCTGTCGAGGTGCCAACTGCCGCCTAATCATTCCAAACGTAGATAGATACTGATAGGAAATGATTCGACACACATTTTTATTCTTACCTTCAAGAATAGCGACGCTTTGATTCCGTCGAATGGTGGCGTTCCACGGTCGGAGACGCTCGTCAAACCATGCAAATCGCAAGAGTAGATGAAGGTCAAAGGAAGTGGCCGATTCAGTTACTGATCCAAAGTCAAGCAGATACATGCTCAGATTGACACGAATTGGCTGCAACTCCTGTGGCGGAACATGCTTTTTGTAGATGGGAGAGTTCGTGAGGATGCGAAAGATTTCTTTGTTTAGAGGGTCAATGACACCATTTGAAGAACTGCTAGCTGATAAGCATTTCGTGTCAGTTGCAATGAAGTACCAAAAGATGAGTTTAGTAAACAAAGAATAAGTAATCGAAGAGGGGAAACCCATTTTAGTTTTGATTAGTGTTTTTGTTGCTCAAAAATGTTTACTGACTACAAATGATGATTTGCACTGTAGACTTTAATTAATTAGTTGTGGCAATTAAACTATTTGCCAAAACACCAGACAAATGTCAGTGTTGTCATGTCTAACGTTGATTACTTAAAGAAAGATGGAAGTGATTTTTAGAAAAACATTCATAACCAAATGCTACCACAATCTGAGACTCAACAAAATTAAAAAATCGCAGTATGGCTAAAAGTTGATTTTTCAGATAGCAGCGCAGACAAAAATATTTTATACTTTAACAATGATGGCTAGATACAAGTGTACACTTAAAATTCCCACAAAAAATAATTATAAAGAGACTAAAATATAAAATGTACAGAAAGGAAAACAAGAATTCAACAATAAATTGCAATGAAAGAGATGATAAGAAGAGTGGCAGAAGAAGACAAAAACAAATTGGCGTGTTTGTCTCAAAACATTGTTGTCCGTGCTTGAGTGGGTAAAGCATTGGATAACGAGGATAGAAAGACATCACAAACGGTTGCAAAGTTGCAAGACAAAAGGTAAGAAAGAAAGTTGTGTCAAGTTGTTAAAAGGGGGAGAGAAAGAATCCTAAGGAGGAAGCTCGTTCAGTAAACTGAAGGCAAAGCTGGAGGACATGGCTGTTGTTAGACGTGGCTGAGTAGAGAGACCGGTATAGAATTGCAGCAGAAGAAATGTGTTGTGTTTGATGGAGTGAATGAGCAATGGGAAAGTACAGTTTATATACAGTTTTAATGAATTAGAGATTCTAAAGTGATAAATAATAATCTGGTCTCAGAGTTCATCAGCCTAAAAGCAAAAACGACGAGTTTAGCTCAGTTCAGATTCTCCCTTTTCTCTTGTAGACTTGTGCTTGTATACACCTCTCAAATCCCCTTAAACTCCACCCTATCACCACTTCTCTCTACGGTTATATTGAGAACACTCTTGGTGTTGTTGTTAATATACACGTAGATATGTCTCAGCGAAGGCATTCCCTTGAAGGTGCCAATCATCTTCTTGATGCACAGCTTGGCACGTTCCTGGCTGACGTTGAACGGCAGTGAGCAGAGCTTGCAGAAGGTCCGGGAGCTGGTCAGTGAGGCAACTTGCAGCACTATGCACTGAACGTTCGGGAAGATGTGCGCCCAGTGGCGACTGGTTAGCTCCGAGTGATTACTTGGCCAGGCAATGATGGAGATCTGCTTGACGGCTGGCAGTGGAGATATTTGCTCAGCTGTTAGTGCTTCAGAGCGCTGGAGAGCTGACTTTGAGTAGAAGAGAATTCTCAAAAATTCTAGATGGTTTAGGGGTGATAGTGTTTTCGTTAGCCAGTCTAACTTGCGCACTTTGATCCACTGTTTAAACTTGTTTAACCGCGGAAAGTGGTAGATGTACGTCTCCATCAGCTTACTGTCCGAGTCAATGTTCTTCAGGCTGCCATCACCGTACTGAAACACATTTGGAAGGTCGGAAAACCGCTCCGAAATGTATGATGAGTCGCTAAACACGTTAATGTAGTCCGCCCAGCTGGAGCCAGAGTTGCCGATGGCGATCTTCTGCAAGTTATCGCCCTTTGGGTCAGCATGTTGCTTCAATGCATTGAAGAGCACTGTCAGATCAGTGTTTAGTGAGTAAAAGTAGAATTCATCCAATCGACTGAGGAAAGTAAAGTTGATGCGTGTGAGGTCAATGTGGTTTTCAATGTAAAGTGTCAAGTGCGTGAGGATGGTGAGGTTATTGATGGCGGTTATCAGTGGGGTGATATCCAATTGGACCGGATCTGCAGGGGCACTGTTTATAAATCAACAAATTAGAGTTTATGTTTTTGTAAATAAATCTGCTGCTGAACACTTACGCTGCTTTTCCTTTATCGCCGCTTGCCGATGGCTCTTCGAATTGGGCGTAAATCTTCAGAAACATTAAACTAGATCTCCAATGCTTGAGCCAATTGACAACCGAGTCAAGACTTTTTAATGAGTCTTTGTGAATGCTCAACTCGACCACACTGACCATTGGCATCAGTGAAACGACTGAATCAAGTGTTGTGTTTTTACACTTTTTGTAGTACACCATATTGAGATCATTTGGTTCAGGGTGCAGGTAGCGCCCAGTGACTGGATCCTTGAGGATGTTTCCATGAGGAATGCGAAATTTGTTGAACAGGTACAGCGAGCTAGGATTCGGTCCGAAGCGAAGAATCAGCGAACGCAATTTGGCAAGTATTCGCTTCTGAAGGCGAGCCCACCGGGCATTCACTTGCGGAATGTGCACGAGAATGTCGAGCAGTGGAAGGCGATAGAAGATGAGCTCAAGAAGTGTGTCGCAGAAGCAGTCCAGACGGGGGAGCGGTTCCACTTTGGATTGCACGGACATTATTCTCTCGTATAACTGACTGGTTGAGGGCGTGATTGATGAGGGAAAGGGCTGCCAGAAACTGTCAAAATGCAGATATTACATCACCGTGACGATCTTCGCAGATTGTGTAAACTGGTTCTGAAGGGGTAGATAAAGAGCTGGCAAGAGTGGCAAGAGTGGCTTAGGTCTCCATTCTAGAGAAGTGTCACCATTATCATCCTCATCATCATAGTCATCAGTGTTCCCGGTGAAGTTGTGCAGGCTGGGCGATGGGGATTGTTTGTCGGTAGCACGTTGATTCGTCTGCAAAGCTGTGCGGACACAAATCGCAACACAAAACAAGCAATCACAGACCCTGTGTCGACTGCAGTCGCTGCCGACGCCAGTAGTGCTTGGGTACATGTAGTGGCCCACTAGGCGCTAATTCGAAAATGGGCACAAAAGTGTTAGCGGCTGCATTTATTGAAAGGTTAAATCACTGCAACTTTTATAACTTTAGCAACTATTTTGTAGAATAAAAGCATTTATTTCTGCAAATAATCAAGATGTGTTTTTCTTCATCACAGACTTATTAACTAACTATAAATTACTTGGCTAAACATACAAATAGCCAGGCGGTTACAGGTGAGCGACTCTTGGTCCCATTGGGTGCCGGGACTGCAGGCCATTTCTCTGCTAACCCAGTTAGTGCACTGCCAGAAATTCTGGCAATCATTTTTCGAGTAGTTGCCATTTTCACTGGGGCAAATGAAAGAGGAAGTGCTTTCAGATGAAGCTTCAGTCGTTTCGCTGCTCCATTCCTCGGTCGGCTCTAAATCCTGTGGTTTCTGCCCACATGTCGTCAAATAATTACAAGTAAGCAGACTTTGGTCCCATTGGGTGCCGGGAGCACAGTTCATTTCAAAGGCAGCCCCATTAGCGCACTGCCAGAACTTTAAGCAGTTTGTATGCTTAAAATATCCAGCGGGACTTGGGCATTTAAAATAGGAAGCAATTGTGTTTAGAGGACAGAAAACTGCCAGTAAAAAAATTAAACTTTTCATGTTTGCAGGAATTCAGTTTAAAAATGTTTTTCTATTGTCATTTTCAATTTAGTTTTATAAGCAGTAAAATAATTTGCGCAATTTTAATTACAAACCTACAGATGAGTGTGTGGTGCACTAATGAGGCAAAGAAAGGTCACTTGTTTTGGTATTTGACTACATATACTAGGAAAATATTATAAGAATGTAAACTCGTACTTTTTTGCATTTTAGAGTTCACTTTGTTAGCGAAACTTTTTATGTATACAGAAAACGTCCAGTTCCCCTAAAAATATAGAGTTTAAAAAACTATTTCCGTTTTTCCGTTTTCATTTGTGCCACAGGATGGCGATACGGTTGTGGAAAAAAATGTACAAAAACATTTTGCAGATCGTTAGAGGTTACTGTTTTCATTTTCAGCAGCCGCGTCTGTCTAAAATCAGGTAAATATTTTTTTAGGGATAGGCTGATTATCTCCAGTTAGCTTCCAGCCTCCTTTAATCTGCTGATCACCTCATTTCTTTCACTTCNTTTCATTTTCAGCAGCCGCGTCTGTCTAAAATCAGGTAAATTATCTCCTGTTTGCTTCCAGCCTCCTTTAATCTGCTGATCACCTCATTTCTTTCACTTTTTCAGTTAAATATACCTTTGTTCTCTTGTTAACCTGTCAGCCATGGCAATGGTTTCGCGGAAAGCAGCGAATCTTCGCTGGATGCCATCTATTCTCTCGGTAAATAATTTGATGTTGTAAATAAATGTGCATTTTATTAAAATATGTTTTCCTCCGTTTCTCTAGGTTCGACTCAGTCAAACACAGGCAGCAGCTTCGGCAAAGCCAGCCACTGCTCCACCAGCGTCTACCGAGAAACCAAAGAAAATCAAGAAGTTCTCTATTTACCGATGGGTAAGTTCCAGCTTCAGGTCACGACCTGTTTGCAGAATGATTGCTGCAAATTGATGATATCTAGAGTTTTAGAGTCAGTAAACTTATTATTTACCATAGTACACCTTTTAAATTTTTAAACTGAAGACCATAACTTGCCAATATTAGTTATCACGATGATTGCCATCCAATGTACTTTTTACTACACCTACTCATGTGACGTCATTTTTAACAATCACTCTCCATCACAGGATCCCGAAAAGCCCGGAATGAAGCCGACGATGCAAACTTACGACGTCGATCTCAATGCGTAAGCAATTACCGTTTTGTATGCCAAATCTAATTACCCTTTTTCCAATTTAAAAGCTGTGGCCCTATGATTCTGGACGCGCTAATTAAGATTAAGAATGAAATGGATCCAACGCTTACCTTCCGACGCTCTTGTCGGGAGGGAATTTGCGGCAGCTGTGCGATGAACATCGAGGGCACCAACACTCTTGCCTGTATTGCTAAAATTTCCGACGTTGGAAGTACCACCAAGATTCTTCCTCTGCCCCACATGTACGTTGTCAAGGATCTCGTACCGGTAAGTGGGCACTTGTTTGTTTTGAAGAAGTCTCGACGATGATCAACATTAACTTCTTCTTTTCACTTTTCCAGGACTTGACGCTGTTCTACGAGCAGTACCGCTCCATTCAGCCGTACCTGCAGCGAAAGGACAACAAGCCACTGGGCTCTGAGCAGAACCTTCAGTCAATCAAAGACCGTGAAACGCTTGATGGCCTCTACGAGTGCATCCTCTGCGCCTGCTGCAGCACCAGCTGCCCTTCATACTGGTGGAACTCTGACAAGTACCTCGGTCCGGCGGCGCTGATGCAGGCCTATCGCTGGATCATCGACAGCCGAGACCAGGCCACTGCTGAGCGTCTCGACCAGCTAAAAGACCCCTTTAGCGTCTTTCGCTGTCACACCATCATGAACTGCACTCGCACCTGTCCGAAGCACCTGAATCCAGGTCGAGCGATTGGCGAGCTTAAAAAGCTCGCCTCTGGTGTGGCATCAAAACCAGCGCCCGATCTCGCCTAGTTTTCCTTAGTACGACTTCTTGTAGTTACTGCAGAGAAACAGCTGCTGGCAATCTGCTGCTATATGTATTCGGCTGACTAGCACTCGGCCCTTGTTTTACCTGAACTAACAATAAAAGAGAGAGCCACTGATGAGCCGTCATTGAGGTGTGTGGGTGTTTATTCGCATGGCCGACCACAAAAGACAACTTTATGGGATGGAAAATAATATAAAGTGTTTACATTTGTTTACTTTGACTTTCCAGTTGTCGCAGGTGCAGCCGCGGGCTTCTGGGCGCTCTGCGTCTTGAGCACCTTCGTGACGATCTTCTCCTCCTCGATGAGGAAGGCCCGAACGATGCGATTGCGGACACAGCTGGCGCACTTCGATCCACCATAGGAGCGGGTGACGGTCTTTCGGCGGTGAGAGAGTCGGGCAAGATCAGCAGGTCGGGCGTAGGCAATGCCTCGCAGCTTCAGCTTGCAGTCACCGCACTTGGCGACGGAGCCATTCTTCTTGGTGTACAGGTACACCAGACGACCGCCGGGAGTCTTGGAGCTGTCCGAGGGAGAGTCAAGTGTTAGAGAAGGAACTCAAAAGCTTCTTTTGGTTGGATAACCGTGACCACCAGCGGCTGAGTATCACAACAACACCACACACATGGCACAAACTGTAAACTTACATCTTTCGGCGGTTGGACTGAGTGTTGTAGGACAGTCTTCGTCGGTAGGTGAGTCGCTGAACCATTGTGTATCACGGGAAGGGGGTGTGTTGCTGGAGAATCCGGTATTTTTGATTCAGATCCGCGTGACACGGCAGAGGAGCGTGGAAAAGGCAGGCACGCTGAAAAATGCTGCTGCAGGTCTTCCGGCATAACGCCATCTGTCAGCTGCCTGCAGAGGATCGGCTCTGAGCTACTCATAGAGAACGTGTCATTCTGTCCGAATCGGCTATCTGCGCCCTGCTTTCCATCACTAAAATTCTCACTTTTGATATCAAAAGAACCGATAACTTATCTTGCCAAACACACTAAAATATCACGAATTTTTGCTTAAAAGTATAAACCGCCTACTTGCGCTGCTTCAGATTCAGATACAGAAGTTACTAATTAAAGTGCGCTACTCCCCCGATTCACAAACGTCGTACTTGCATTGTCAGGGGCAGTGCTCAGTCTATTTTCTTCAGGTCTCACATGTTTTGGTCTACCAAAGCACAAGTCTCTCGCCTTTGACATTACCGGTATTTTCAAAAGGTTTGTTTGTGGTCGTACTCTTTACCGAATACTTTAATAACTTGTGAACTTTTAGTTCCCCAAGCGATATGTCAGCTAGCCGCGACTTTTACCTTCGCTACTATGTGGGCCACAAAGGCAAATTCGGTCACGAGTTTCTGGAGTTTGAATTCCGCCCTGATGGAAAACTGCGCTACGCGAACAACTCCAACTACAAGAACGACACCATGATCCGCAAAGAGGCATACGTGTCGCGGTCAGTAATGGAAGAACTTCGCCGCATTGTAGAGGACGCTGAGATCATGTCGGAAGATGACAGTCTCTGGCCGTCACCGGATCGCGTCGGCACACAGGAGCTGGAGATTGTCAACGGGGATGAGCACATTAGCTTCACCACCAGCAAGATCGGCTCACTCGCTGACGTCAATGACAGTCGCGATCCGGAGGGACTCCGTTGCTTCTACTACCTGGTGCAGGATCTGAAGTGTCTCGTCTTTTCGCTCATAGGCCTTCACTTCAAGATTAAGCCCATCTAAAAGAGACCGTGTGTGTGTGTATTCTGGAGATTAAGAAGCCTGTCAGCTAACTCATTTGCATCGAATATCGAATCATTTCATAGCCGTCATATAATTGCACTTGATATTCTTGATAAACCAATTTTGTCTTTAATATTGCAGAATAAATGTCACATTATATGAAGTTCACAGTTTACTTTGATAGTAATGCACATTATGGTAATTAGACTAAAGAGGATGGCAAGATGTTGCGGTAAATGTAAAAGAGTTTTGACTACAAATGATAGAAGTGTCCAACACGAGCAGATTATGCAGATTATAGAAAAGTATACATTTGATGAGAGATGTGTGCTCTTTTGAAGATGATTTGGTGGCAACAATTTCACTCTGGATTAGGTCCAGGGGGATTTCCATTGGCATTTCGATTCAGTAGCGGATTTACAACGGCAGCATCTAACTCGAAATTAAGTAAGTTGTTCAGATTGTTCAAATTGTCACCAGGGTCGTTTCCACCACCGGCGTTTCCAACAGCATTTCCATTTGCACCCGGATTCACATTTGCACCAGCGTTTCCATTTTCATTTCCTCCATCAATAAGATTTTCAGCAGCCTCAAAGGCAGCAACAACTGCATCCTGATTGACGATCTGTCGATTGACAGCATTTCTTAAGTAGTTGTAGATTGGAAGCAGCCTCGGTGGATTGTTCGGTGGTTGAGCGTTAGCGGGGTTCGGCAAATCATCTATAAAAACATTATTATAGAGAGGTCGGTTGTTGAAAGCTACTGGCGGCGGCTGGTAAGCATATAAGACATTTGGACCAGGGCGATTGGCATTTAAGTCGACATTTGGACGAAACGGCTGGTTTGCGCCCAAATTCCTTTGAGGAGGCGGTCGGTTTTGTTGATTGGAAGAGCGGAAGCGAGATGAAGGTGGAGTTTTGGGTTCCTATACGAAATTTCAATTTTCTTTAATAAGTTCTTTTGTAGCAGTGAACTGCATCTACTTACCTCCACTTTTGCTTTTTTAGACAAAACTTTGAAAACTTTAAAAGTTATGTCGCTCGGAAGTTTACGCCATACGGAATTGGTAATGTCTTTACTATTGTCTGAGAGAAAATCAGTGCACGCTTGTATGAGATAATTCGAACTATTCGTATCAGCAAACTTAATGACGTCAGGGACATCTTCCATTTTCAAGTGTTCTGACCGAAACTTCTCGCAAATGCCCCTTAAGCCCATGACTTCATACTAAAAAAATAATAAAACTCATGTGATAAATTATTCAACGCACACTGAGATAGTTACCTTATCAGCAGCTTTAAAGATATTATCAACATTCTGAAGATCCATAGACACTTGACCGTAGTAGATATAGTTGAGAAGCTCTTGAAAAATATTCGGCTCGATATCATCTATCACAACTTTGTTCGTCAAATTTTCAACATATTTAGCATTAAACATGGCTGCAAAAACCTACATTATTCAAAATTAGTAATTAAATAAAATACAACAAAAGACAGTAGAGTTAAACTTACATCGCTTCTAGCAGACAAAATCGCTTTATGAGCTGGAAATTCCTTTCTTTCCTTTGTTTGCTTTTTTTCGACGATGACCGTTACATCGGTAAACGTGCCGCTCTTTCGTAGCTTCTCCAAATCACGACAGACTTGAGTTTGAGAATTAAGCATCAAGTTATACCCCAAGCGTATTTCACAGGAAACCTTCAGTTGCCCATTTTTGATCAACGAATTCTTTTGATCCAGTATCGCCGCTTTAGCTACACATAACGAGGGATCTTCACAAAAAATGACTTCCGATTGAATGTTTTGACGACCCTCTTGGAAAATAAAAGGAAATTTGAGAAACGTCCAAACAAATCAATAAAGTCAATAGGGCTTACCTTTGACAAATTTTTCATCGCCTTTATTGTCAAGGACAGCAATTTTGTACTCCAACGATTGCCGTTTGACTAGAGTAGACTTACTTAGATGGAGATTAATCTCAACAAAGCCAGCTTTCTTTTCAGCAGTTGGATTTGGATCAAATGAAAGCTGAACCTTGAAGTTTTGCGTCTCTGATACTGTGGTCATGTTGGAAAAAACAGTAACTCCATTTCCCTCAAGTAATCGGGCCACATTGTCAATGACAAAGCTAAATGTTTTAGAATCAAACAGTGAGCCACTTTGGTCAGCCACAGTCTTCTTTGCATCGTTAGGAGCCACCTCCATCGACAGGGCACGTTTGAGGCCGCGGGATGAACTGGCGGAATTGGACGACGTCGATGGAGCAGAGCTACCGCTGGCATTGGGCTCCGCCATTTTGAGGCGATCAAGAATCAATCAACTGGTGGAGATGGCAATTCTGCCTTGGAGAGAAAGAGAGAAAGAGAGAAGTAGAATTGTACTCGCTGTTCTAAATGGCAGCTTGGCACGTCAACGGAGAATTGTCAAATAGAGCAGCGCGCACGGAGTGTGCTTCAAGCTTGCTCACTCGCACACTTGTCAACAGCAGCCGCTGCAGATCGTAGCGCCGCCGACGGGCAGAGTGCAAACTAAAAAAACTAAAAAATCACTCACTTCTTTTGTTGCATCATGTATCAGACATCGTGACTTTAATATGCCCAGTGTTTTATGTAAAAAAAATACATCGCAGATTTGAAAATTTTTTTCTAAGGATAAATTTGTTCTATGCAATAAGGGTATTACACAGTGCGAGGAGCTATGTAATTGTTTGTGACAGTAGTGGTCGTCAGGAAAGTGAAATCAAAAATTTGTTACGCTATGATTCATACGGCCGTCAAGTCCTTGATTGTCCACTCGTACCGAACTCCGACTTCATTTTGTAAGTAGGCATTGGCATGTGCATCATTAGGCTGCGGCCTGTAGCGAAAGCTAAAGGCGTATATCTTCTCAATCTTCGGACAGGCGACGAGGGGAAAAATGAGTAGCCTGTTGCAGGCTTTTCGCATGTCGACATTCTCAAACGGATGGTGCGGACAGTGGAATTTGCAGAAGTGAAAACGGATCCACCTGACGCCCGTGAAGATGTCTGAAAAGGGAAAGCCGCACAGCGAGTGGTGGTTGATGGTGGTCAGGGTGATCGTCAGCGAGGTGATCGACGGCAGCGGGGTGATAGTGCGCGCTACCTCCGGAGTTAGCAGGGAGCGCATGATGTAGCTCGTTATGTCCAGGTCGTTCAGGTCGAGCTTCAAGTGCCGCAGCTGGGTGAACTGTACCAGCGGGGTGAGCATTCTCTCGACGGGAAAGTTGCCCACTCGGTACAGTGACAGGACGCGCAGCGAAGAGCAGTTGAGCAGCGCAGGGGCAATCTGATTGGGGGCAATCAGATTTAGTCGCAGCTTCACAATCTTCGCCTTGACAATAATCGGCAGGTCTCGAATGTCGTCGGCGTTCTGCTGAAAGCCCTTTATGTCGAGGGTGATTTCCTTTAGCTTGGTGTTGGAGACACCGAAGTTGGTGATATTTTCCATCAGATTGCGATACGAGGGCGGCCGAGTGTCCAAACTAAAATGGAACGACTCTAGATGACCGAGCATTTGCATGGCATTGCCCGGGTTCTCCCATATGCAGCTGAGACCGTGAAGTGTTAGATGTCTCAGATTGGGCATATGAGACACTGCCACCAGCAACGGGTAGGGGAGAAACTTAAAGCCAACGATGCTCAGTCGAACGGTCACTAGTTGACTTCCATAAGAGCGCAAAAGACTGTAAATGTAGTTTGTGCTCAGAAACGATGGAAAGACTTGAGCCTCAAACACGCGAATCTGTGGAAAAGTCGGACGAATCCAATCATAAATGGGCCGATTTAATTGATCAAAGCGCATAAACTCTTGTCGCTTCTTTTTCGACTCTGCAGAAGGCGGCGTTAGATGATCACAGGAAATGTCGTAAACAACATAGCGACAGTCATCTGCTTCTTTTTCCGGTCCGATGAAGAGAGACAACCGCTGGTGACAGTGCAGAGCATCGTAGACCAGATTT